TCACGCGTTTCCCCACAACCTCAATTGGAAGTGTTCTTGATTTTTGATTTGACGGATGTGAATCAATCTACAAATTTTCTCTGCTTGAATCTTCACACCCTCTAAGAACTATGATAAATGGTCAAATAACTGTCTTTTTTTTACTTATTCTAGTTCATGTACATCATTCTCTCTCGCTTAACGTGTATTTGCTTTGCATTTGGGATTTTTAAAGTTTTCGTGCCCGATGATTATACAACATTCAATCGATTACGGACCGTTTTAAGAAGAACTTATCGTCATGTCGTCGTCAAATTTATCGTATCGTTAAGAACTATAATAATGGGACATATGATAAAAGACTAATTATAAAAAAGACAAATGGACTAATAACTGTCCTTTTTATTTATTTATTTTTCGATTTGACGTACTTCAGTCTCGCGTTGAAAGTACAAAAAGTAAAACGGACCACCCTGAATAATTTTTGATCTAATGATTGGATCGATGCGTTCTGGAACTCAATCTCAGTGGTTTGAGAGGGTGACCTCAAATATGCTAATAAATAAGTGCAGACGATATTTTAAGTCACGAAAGCAGACACAAAAACGTATTTCTCTGAATAAATATACTTTACGACGGATTCGGATTTCTGGCTCACAAAATATAAGGCTAACAAAACGCCCTTCAAACCATTAAGATGGAGTTTTTGTGAAGATCCAATCATTAAATTAAAAGTCATTCAGGGGGGTACTTTTTCGCGAATTGTACATTTAAGTTTGCATTAAGGATTTTTGAAGATTTAAAGCCCAATAATAATGTAAGTTTCAATCGTTTCCGAACCGATAATTGCAGAATTTATCGCCATCTTATCGCTAAATAGAATTTTTCATCAATCGAAGTTTCAATCATTCTTCGATTGCCAATATAATTTAAACTTCGACGACCTCAGAAGATTTTCAAAATTTTTGTGCCCGATGACAAAGCAAGTTTCAATCGTTTCCCAGTCGATTGTAGCTGAACTTGTCACCATATTTATTGCTCGATAGGATTTATCCTTCATTGAAATTTCGATCTTTACTTCTTCCGTTAAATCACTAATATTTCAATTGGAACTATGTATATGTCTTATGCTAATATAAGTTACATTTATTTCTAAAATTGTGTGAACCATTTTATCATAGATCGTAATTTTGACGCCTTTCTACAAGCAAACGGATCATTAAAACGAAGAAAATAATAACATTAAATCGAGAGGATTTTCGGTTATTATGTAATTTTTAAAGTTTTTATTTTATTTTATCAATCTGCTGTACCTCTCTGAGGAACTGAATTGGTAAAAACAATTTATACCATGTAATCTTAAATCACGTGAATCTTAAAACAAAACAAAACCCATCAAGTATTTCAATATTTATTCATTATGAAATAAATAGTATTTCATCGAATTAAAAAAAAAATCACATAAATAAAAACTCTCTTTAGGTTTAATGTTCGGATTTATTTTTTAAAAAAAATTCCATTACTTTGCGTTGAGGGAATTATAGTGATCAAAATATTTGCATTTGTAACAAGTGAGGGTATGCCTAAAACAAATATAAAAAAAAATCACCTCTTAGAAAGAAAGAAAAAAAGAATAATTGCACATTAGAAGCATATAAGTTCTCTCAGTTCCTGTGACAATTGCGAGCTGCCGATCCGGTTGTGATGGATTGAACTACATCATCATTATTCCCATGATGAAGTTTGGGGGGGGATAGACGGTTTAAGGGGGGTTAGAAGAGGTGTTACGTTAAGTAATTAATTCCGTCGTTATTCACTCCGTAGTGTGTAAATTATAAGTTTGTGGTTCTTGCAGCTATCTGTGAAGATGGAAGAGTTTTGGTGAAAGAGATCTTCTGGCGCCTGTCTTCGAGAGTCCAAATATATGATGGATGACCGGTTCAATAACTCCGAATGTCAAATAACATGTTTTAGAGCTATTTCTCTCAGCTTTGTTGAGGAAGGAGAAGCAGTTTTGTTGCTTCTATGAGTACATCGTCTGAGAATTCCACGTCGTGGTATTCATGGAATTAATTACTGAAAATTTGGGCATTAGTCTATGACGGAAGATATATAAAAAAAAAAACGTGTCAAGCTGCATTTTTTTTTTTTTAAATTGAGCTGTAATTTATAATTGAAAAGATTAGTGGAAGAACATTTTAAGGAGAAAGTTTTGTAAATTTGACCATTAGTTTATCGTGAAAGAGATTAGTGGAAGAACATTTTAAGGAGAAAGTTTTGTAAATTTGACTAGTTTATCGTGAAAGAGATTAGGGGAAGAACATTTTACGGAGAAAGTTTTGTAAATTTGAGTAGCTTATCGTGAAAGAGATTAGTGGAAGAACATTTTACGGAGAAAGTTTTGTAAATTTGACTAGCTTATCGTGAAAGAGATTAGTGGAAGAACATTTTAAGGAAAAAGTTTTGTAAATTTGACTAGTTTATCGTGAAAGAGATTAGGGGAAGAACATTTTACGGAGAAAGTTTTGTAAATTTGACTAGCTTATCGTGAAAGAGATTAGTGGAAGAACATTTTAAGGAAAAAGTTTTGTAAATTTGACTAGTTTATCGTGAAAGAGATTAGTGGAAGAACATTTTAAGCAGACAGTTTTGTAAATTTGACTAGTTTATCGTGAAAGAGATTAGTGGAAGAACATTTTAAGGAGAAAGTTTTGAAAATTTGACCATTAGTTTATCGTTAAAGAGATTAGTGGAAGAACATGTTAAGTATCATTTTTATAAATTGGAGCCTGTTAGTTACTGTAAATTGGTGCCTTGGTTAGTTACTGTAAATGTGAGCATTAGTTTATGGCGATTCGAGCAGTAATTTATAATTGAAAAGAATAGTAGAAGAACCTTTTCTGAGCATTAATTTTAATTGAATAGTGAAGGAATAAGATAGATGGTTAATTGAGTTAATTTTATGATTAGTGGAAGAACATTTTAAGCAGATTTCTTTTAAAATTGAGCATTAGTTTAAGTTAATTGAAGATACTAGTGATATATTTTTAGAAGCAAGTTTGTAAATTTGAGCATTAGTTTATCGTTAAAGAGATTAGTGGAAGAACATGTTAAGTATCATTTTTATAAATTGGAGCCTGTTAGTTACTGTAAATTGGAGCCTTGGTTAGTTACTGTGAATGTGAGCATTAGTTTAGGACGAAATATACTAAAAGAACATATTAAGCTAATCGAGCAGTAATTTATAATTGAACAGATTAGTGGAAGAACATTTTAAAGAGAAAGTTTTGTAAATTTGACCATTAGTTTATCGTTAAAGAGATTAGTGGAAGAAGTATCATTTCTATAAATTGGAGCCTGTTAGTTGCTGTAAATTGGAGCCTTGGTTAGTTACTGTAAATGTGAGCATTAGTTTATGACGAAATATATTAAAAGAACATATTAAGCTATAATCGAGCAGTAATTTATAATTGAAGAGAATAGTGGAAGAACCTTTTCTGAGCATTAATTTTAATTGAATAGAGAAGGAAGAAGATAGATGGTTAATTGAGTTAATTTCATGATCAGTGGAAGAACATTTTAAACATCGTTCTTTTAATATAGAGCATTAGTTTAAGTTAATTGAAGATACTAATGATACATTTTCAGAAGCAAGTTAGTAAATTTGAGCATTAGTTTATCGTTAAAGAGATTAGTGGAAGAACATGTTAGGTAGTTTTTTTTTTATACATTCGAGCCTTAGTTTATAATTGAAATTATTCGTAAAAGAAATTTATTGTGAAGTGAAGATTAGTTTATAATTATGAATATTAGTGGAAGAGAATGTTAAGAATCATTTTCATTAATATGAGCATCGGCTACAAATATGAAAAAATAAATCGAAAGCTATGAAACATTTCCTCTAAACTGCGTTCAAATATTCCGAATCAACTCGCACTTTTCTGTTTATAATTTTCTAAATTTTAAAAAAAATGTGAAGATACAAATTGTTTTGCTACAGAAAAAGACTGTTTTTTTCTGTATCTTCGCATGTATTTCACTTTGATCTTTAAAAAAAAACTGTTAACTATGAAATTTAAGTTCATTTATTTCTAAATTAGAAAGCAAACCAATGTATTAGTTCTCTTAGATCACTTAACATGAAGTTGTTTAAATAGTTCAACTCTATTAAATTACACGAAAGGTAATATGTGTCTGTTCAAAATTGTTGATTGGTTTGTGGGGCCTTCTTCAGTTCCTGGAAGGATATTCTTTAAAAAAATATCCTTACCAATTTTGAATGTTTCTTTAATTGTGAGTTATAACTATTTATTTGGGGAAGTTTTATTTTCGCAATTTATTTTAATTTGTTACTTTCATTTTTGCTCGTTATAATTTGTTCTGTTGCTGCATATTTATTGTCCTCAGATATGTATTATTAATTCCAGTTTTTATAATTCTCTGTTAACCAAATATGATAAAAAGAAATTATGTGTTTCAACAATTTTGTATTGCCAAAAACTGTACTGACTTTGCTGAGTTTTTAAAATGTAGTTTTCGTCAAAATGGCGAGTTTCGTTTAGAATTGGGGAGGCTATTTTCTCGTCTAGTGTTAGATCTTAAGAAAACTTTTTTTTTAATCTCCTAATGTGCATAATTAAGTTTTTTGTCATTATCTTTTTAATGACATATATTATTTGTTAAATTAACTAATATTAGGTATTTTTTCTGTTTGCTTGTTTTTACATTACCTTAAACTTTTACTGAGTTTTCAAAATATAATACTTCCTATTTTGACAAATTCCTAAATGAAATTGTAATGACAAATTTCTTATCTATTGTTTCGTCAAGAAATTTATAATAATGAATAAAATTTTATTTTGGAAGCCTAACAATGTTGTCCTGGTTCACAGTACTTTATTTCTTAATGAAAAAATGCCTTGATGATTTCTTGAAAATTTCTTGATTTACTTTCTTTTATGAATCTTACAATCTGAAAACCAAAATTTTAAAACAACTTTTTTTTCTTCTATTTTTTGTAGGTATTTAGGTATGGTTGGACCACACCACTCTGTCACCCCACCAGAAATGGCCAGCGAACAATCCTCAATGTGCTCATCAGTGCCAGGTCTTGTGATGCAGCAACAAAAAGTGTGCCAGGCACACCCCGCTGTCATCAAAGCGGTTAGTAGTGGTGCCAAAAGAGGTATTCACGAGTGCCAGAATCAATTCAGGCACGATAGGTGGAACTGTACAATTGAAGGTGGAGAAAGTGTTTTTGACCACACACTACAAAGAGGTGAGATATGAGATGACAAAGGCTCTTTGATCTGGCTCTTTGCAAATGCCGACATCATTTTGCAAAGCACCTAGTTAATTGAAAATGTTCCCAGTGATGTTCCCAAGTTCCCAAGTTCTACCTAACTTGGTACTTTAGGCTTATTATAATCAGCACATATCTATTTAGGCTAATTAAAAATAATTTGCAAAACATTATTCTATCAACCTAAGTAAAGGATAGCTAAAAATTGGAAAATCTAGCACTTTGTGCAAATGTCACCATCATTTTGCAGGCGGCAGGCTAATTGCTAATGTCCCTAGTATTTATCACTTAGCTTAATTAGTTTTAGGCTCATTAGAATCAGCCAATATATCTTTAAGATAGTTTGAAAGTGCATAAAAATTACTCAATCTGCCTAATCAAATGGACATTACAAGTTGGGAAATCCGGTTGTTGCAAATGCCGTCGTAATTTTTTAAAGAGCCAGGCTAAATGCAAATGTCCTCAATATTTTCTGTTTACATTTGTAATTTTTAGGCTTATTATAATCAGCATATACCTTTCGGCTAATTAGAAAATGTGCGAAAAGTTAGGGGCAGGTAAGTGCAAGTACGCTCCTTCGCCACCTAATTAATTTTATTATTTAGAGCCATGCCATGGTTATATCCTTAATTCCTATATCACACATATTTTGTTTTAAAGAAGTTCGAATACAGGACCAAACCCAGGAAAAATTTTTGCAAAAAGCAGTGTTTAATGCGCTTATTCTGCTGAATTTCTTTACAGACAACTTTTAACACAGCTTTTCTTTTCCTTCGGGCATTGATGTCTTTATTTTAAGTAGTTATTGAGAGAAAAAACACTTAACCCTCCTTGAAGCATAAGTGGTTTTTAGGTATTAAAGCGAAGTAGTGCTGCTACTTACTTTTGGCAGTTAACTCATAAGTAAGATGATAACCTGAAATACGTGTCGAAGCCATGTGGTAAAACGAGAGCATTCTTTCTCGAAGAAGAGAAGTTTATCCAAATGTTATCTTGACAGCATGTGGTGAATCCCAAAAAGTTAACATTTTAGATTATGAAGCGGCGGTTCCTTCTTAACTCAGTTTTGTGTAAAAAGACTTGAAAACAGAGCAGCTAACGATGATGGTAAAAAATAATCCTCGTGGTTAAAAGTTGTTTTTCGAAGGCTTCGTCTGCTTATGGAATTAGGCTTTTTTGCCAATTTCATAACTGCTGTGAGTTTGTAACAGTTATTCATGACTGTTAGGACACGTTTAGCCTATCTAAAGCTAGCGCTAACTTTGTTTATTCTGAAAATAGCGCAAAACGTAAAGATGGCGAAAAGCCACAGATTCGGAAATGAAAAACGCTTGTGGTCTAATTTTTTAGTATTTAAAAACTTACTCCAATGCTGTATTATTTGGGGTCATAAAAATTTGCGAAAACTAAGAATAAATTTCTATAACTTTCTTCTAAGTGGAAAAATGTCGCCAAATTTGGCGATTTTTGAAAAAGTTTAATAATTTTTAAAATAATTAAGTTATTCCTCCGTTCTAAAGCCCAGATAATTCATCACAGCAAGATTATATATATAGTTTAAAATTATCATTTGGCCTCACGTGTAATGCATCTAAACTGTAACTTTTTATTTTATTTTTCTTGGCGACAGAGCTCTGAAAAACCATGTTAAAGGAGATCGTAGAACTCAAGATATAAAGAATAAATATATATATCGCACTACATCTAAAGCAATAAAATCTCTCTACTACGAAGTTCCCTTATAATGCGATTATTTTTATATTTTTTAGAATTTTTGATCAGAACGTTTAATATATAACTTTTAAAAAAAGCTGAAAAATTCTTGGTGGAACACACAACTAAGTGGTTGTTTCTCTGTACGGAATTCTCCACAACTTAAAAAATCTTTGCGATTTATATAATATTTGGGTTTCTTTTCTCTAGTTATTTATTTATTGATTTTACTTATTTATTAATTTATTTATTGATTATTATTATTAAGAAGTTGGAATTTTTGTGTAACAATTCTGTCTCTGGAACCACTATGGATATTAATTCTAGCGAAAAGAATAACAATAGGATTTTATATAAAGGTAAAAGACTAATCTAAAACGTTCTTTTATAATCTGCATTACTTTATTTTTAAATAGAAGTCATTGGCTTCATCAGTGTGTCATAATAGTCATAATTTTGACTGATGGATGAGTCATAAAGTCATAATTTTTGACTTAATTGATGTGATAAGTTCCAAATTTTCTCTTTCGAGCTTATCACACCGGCTCAAAATTTTGTAACGTTTCTTTAAATAGTTACAAAAATCTTCAACCTCATTACAATAAAATTTCTCTGCAGTAAATTTTTCAACTAGAGCCTCTCGAGCCGTGATGGCTCAGGGGATAGAACATTCGCCTTCCAATGAGGTGAACCGGGTTCGAATCCCAGCGATGACTGATCGATACGAATTCCGCATGCGACTTGCATCAACCACAGTGCTGACGGAAAATATTCTCAGTGGCAGACGAACCATGGGTTTGAGTCTCCTTGCCGTTAGGCTAACCGTGGCAGGTTTTCGTGGTAACGCAAATGTGGGTTAGTTCCATCAAAAAGTTCTTTAAGAAGGTAAATTTCTCCCAATACTTGATCCAGGAGTTCCCTTGTCTTCTGGATTGGGTTCAAAATTACAGAGCTACGGAATTGAACATTAGGAGCAGTAAACCCAAAATTGAGTCGGCTGTTCAACAACGGTTATAAAATAAATAAATAAAAACTAGAGCCTCTCGATTCCATTGTAGAGAGATTCTACGGTAGCTTGAAAAATCTTTATTCACGAAGTTTTACATTTTTATTCACGAGGTTAATCTTTATTCACGAGTTTTGTATTACATTCTATTTTCCTTTAAATTATGTCTTTTTTTATTATTCCTGTAGATTATTATTTGTAAACATTAATTTTTACTTTTTATTTAAATTATACGTTATTTAAACACGTTAAGGATTGTTTACATAGCTTACTTGCAAACTTAATTATCTTTTGTAGCCTGTTGTTGTTTTTTTTTAAATTTGAAGCATCGAAAGTTTAATTAATATTGCAAAATTACTAAGTGGAATAAAAAAAAAATTACATTTGTTTACTTTTAGCTAAATGTATTTAGTTTAATGAATCTTTTATAAACATATTGCGAAAAAAATTTTAACTTTTTTTAAAAAAAAATTTTAAAAGTGTTGCTTTTTCTTATTTATTTCACGGTTTGCAAAACATATTATTTTACATAAATCATCATTATCAGATAATGAGATGTGACAAATGATAGATTATCAGGTGTAACTTTAACAAATTACAAACCATTATTTGCATTAATAGGTCTTAACTGAAAAATAAAAAAGAAATTTGGATGGATTTTACTCAATTTAAATAAACGTGTAGAAGCGAGGCATTGTATTTAAATTCTAGTCTGGGGGAGTTGCTCTTAAATTCAGTTTAAATACTAAGCCTTACATTTTAAGCTGCTCTTTATAATGTAAAATTACGGTGAGAAAGAAAAACGAATTTTTATAAAAAGAAAAATTCTCCATGTAAACTTTATTCAGAAGTCATCCACTACTTTTATTTTTAAAGGAATGCTTTCCGAAAATCTGCTGCTTTACTTAACTTATTCTTAGAAGTAAACGAGTTTTCTCCATTTTTACCCCTAAAAAGATTGGGGGGGGGGCGTTGAAGACGTTTCCTTCCTTCTTTTTCTTCCCAACCTGTCGGCTACTTTTAAAAGAGCATCTTCCTTCTCATCCCTTTTAAACATCACTTTTCTCGCCTAGATAAAGGATGAGTGGGAGGACATCTTGAATTTATTTCCATAAAAGATAACGCAACAGTTGTTTTCTACTGTTTTAGGGGCCTTCCTCATCATTTTAAATTAATTTGCACGAAACTTAGATGAAAATTATTTCCGGTAAATATATCGTAGTACATTTACCGGACTTTTTACACGCACTTACTTCATGAATAAAGATGCAAATTTAAACCGGTTGTTTAGTGCGCAAAAAAGGAAGAAGAAGACCGGACCACCCTGAATTACTTTTGCTCTGATGATCGGATCTTCAAGTTCGAGGACTCAGTCTTAATGGTTTGAGGGGGGGATTTCAAATATGCTAGTTAATTAGCGATATTTTAAGTTACGAAATCAGACACATAAAACGCACTTTCTTTAAATAAACATACTTTTTTTTTTTTTTTTTTNTTTTTTTTTTTTTTTTTTTTTTTTTTTTTTTTTTTTTTTTTTTTTTTTTTTTTACTGAATCGGATTTTTGATCAACATAACGGAATAGCAGCAATCTGGAAAATATGGTCCCAATAATTTGGTCAGAAGAGCACTCCAAAGTTTCGACACCTTAATCTTAATTTCTCTTTTGGCGTATTTTTAAAGTCACATTCAAAAAATAAAAAAGAATTTTTTTTACCAGGAACTATTTGACCGACTTCATTCACATTTTGCATTTCGCCATGTAAAATTACAATCTTTAAAATAATGTAAAAAATTTTATGCCTTGCAATTCTTTCGATTATTGTGAAATAAAATAAAATAAGTATCAAAAGTTATTTTTTTGCATGGAATTATTTTTGAAAGAGTAAGAATTTTACAATTGGGTGAAAAAATTTTTGAATTTGCTTGAAAGTTCTTGAGTTTTGGTGAAAAACGCAAAAAGTTAAATTAACACTAAGGGATCTAAATTTGCGGTAAAAAAGTTACTGCAACGCTGCATTGACTGGATTCTTAAAAAATTGCAAAAGTTAAGAATTATCCATTGATTTTTTCCCCAGGTAAAATAGTTTTGCCAAATTGGCGATCTAGTTTCACAATATTTTAAATATTTGAAATGTTTGTCCATTTTGAAGCCTAAATAGTTCCTAATAAATAATAAAAGTAGTTTAAAATCATTGCTTTACTTCGAGTTTGAAACACCATAAACTTTTACTTTTTTTTTAATTCTTGGCGAAAAAA